AATCAAACTAATATAATTTTAGGGTGTATTTATAGACATATTGATCATAAGTTAAAAAGTAATTATCTCTGTATAAAAATCACCAGCTAGGCCTCACATATATGGTTTTCAGCTTTTGGTCTCCTTATCTAAGAAAGGTTATTGAATTACTGTAAAGGGTTCAAGTGAGGGCTACTAGGATGATCCTAAGGGTGGGTTATTTTATCGGGATAGATTAACTCTTTAAACCAGTAATTTTTTGTGTGTTCTGCTGGGATTATATTCATGATTTCCTAATAATCATCACCATACTATATAAAACTCCAATTTTTTTAATTTTATGGAAAATAACATGGTTTGGATTAGTTTACAACCAAAGAGACATAAAAGTTATCGGATGCTGTCATTGTCTGATGGGTAAATCGGGATTTTCAGCCAGACATTGGCGGTGTTCACTTGAGTTTAAGGAGTTAAGGTCTTTCAACTTGTTTTTTTTTAAGAAAAGAAGGGTAAGGGATGATCTTATTGAAATTTACAAAATTATTAATTGGAACTGTGAGAGACTTCAAATGGTATTGCAATAAAATCTTGAAGACACTAGGGCATAAGTCTTTTTTACATAATTCAAATTTAACAGGTAGGATTTACCTTTGTTTTTTATTTTCGGTTCACAATGAAGGTACACAACTGATGACTCAGTACAATCTGGTTAATATAGGTTGTAGTTATTTGGTGTATTAAGTATTTCTAGTCACTTTGTTTCAGTGTGTAGTCATCATTGATGTGTATGCTATGTTTTGATACTAATCCAAATAGTTTAATTACTTTTGATCAAAAGTTCTTAATAATTCTCAGTTTTTAAAGAAACATAAGAGGACCACTGTGTGTATGTGTCAAATATTTTGCAAAAAAATAATTTTTTTCAATAAAACGTATGAATTTGTTACTGCAAGGATGAAAAAGAAAATCAATCTAATGAAAAAGACCATGGTCCAGCTTCCAAGTGGACTAGATCATGCTCTAAACACAGTAAGTGTGCAGTTTCTTTGTCAAATAATAAAATTAAAAAGATTGCATTACAATAGCTCATATTCTGCCTTAACTTAAAAAATGTATGCTTCAATATTTCAATCACTTTGATTATGCTGGATTTTTAGTCAACATCAATTTTACCATGTGTATGAAAGATGGTTTCATGGTATATATTAGTAAGTTTAAGTCTCAGACAATCGAGATTTTCCTAAAGTAGAAAAATAAATGATAAAATTCTCACTCTTGTACCAAAATCCTTCAGATATTTTTTGTGGTCATGGTCTTATAAAGATAGTACTGATACTTAGATTTCTTTTGAAAAAAAAATACAAGTAATTAAAATAAAAAACTGATTACTTTATAGTGTTAGATAATTATTTTTACTAATGTTAAGATGGGGTTCTGCAGTACATAATGATTGTTTACAGCATTACACTAATATTATTGAAAAAAGCTTTCAAGCAAGGAAGAACTCTCATGACATTAGATAAGATAGATAATCATGCTAATCAACCAAGTCAGAATCAAGAGGGCATGTGCACATGTAAGCTTTGTGTACACATTTTGTGGTTTATATATAGACTTAAGTGAACAAGAAAGTTGTTTTGTTATTGAGCAACACCTTTTTCTTTAGCTTAGAAATGAAGTTTACATTGTAATGGACTAAACAAAATGCTGCTACAACCAGTGTTAAACAAAAACAATATGTTAGAATATAACAGAAATCCAAAATATAATTGTCAAGCAACTAAAATACAAATTTTACCACTTATTAGAAAAAAAAACAATTATTAAACCTGTGCCTAGCCAGGACAAGGTACAAAAGTTGATAAAATATACAACGTAAATCTCAGTGTGATTAATTCCAAATCATACTTACCTCAACTCACACTTATAGCTATTACTTGTGTGCCAGGGTTTCTTCCTTTGCCCATTGATTCTGATTTATTCTTGCTTGCTCCAGTCTTTTATACCTCAGTCAGTTGCCCTTGGTGATATTTATCTCATGACACTCTCCACCTACATCAATGCACCCTTTATTATAGCACCTCATTCTCTCTTTTTCTTGACAAAGCGTCACTAATGAGTTTCCCAATATTATGATTGAGTGAAGATAATTTGAACGTTATCCATGTTATCTCGTTGAATCAGGATTAGTCATTCAGTTTAGATCTTCACCCAACCTGTACTGTTTTCCACCTCCTGCAGATTCTCGGGATTTAGAACTTAGTTCTAGAACTATCAGAGTTTGATTGGTCTGGAGGTAGTGAGAGAGTTGTGCTAGTTTTTCTGAGGTTTTAATTCCCGTCAGTTGTTGAGTCTCAGAAGACAGGAGATTGGTATCCAGTCATTGATCTTTCTTGTCTATATCTATGCCTAGATTCTTCAATTTTTACAAGTTACTCATTCCTTAATCTGAGTTGACATTTTTTTACTGGGATTTTGGATGTCCAAGTTCATTGTAGTCAGCTGCTATCTGCACATTGCCATAGTAGTGCCATCCTATCACTATTGGCATTTTTTGTGCAAAAGGTTAAAGAACTGCAGTTCCAGGTTTTTACCTTTGAACTCACATCAGGTTCACATGGGTTCTGCCGTATCTTATGAGTTTTTTATCTACACCTACACCAATTGCACTTTGCATACACCATTCCATAGACGACTGGTTACTGCTGGCAACATGTTGTCAGTTGTCAGAATATCACATCCTGATTCTGTTTTCAGAAACAAACAAGGCGAGCCTCATTCTTAGGGCTGAGACATTTATTGTTGCTCTAATTCAATATGTTATAAGTGGGTATTTTTTATTTTTCATCTCGTCTCTCAGTTGGGCTCAGCTGACTCCCATCCGGCTCAACACTATGGAATAGGAAGCCTAACTCTTACTGACCTATCCTTCTCCCACTGCATGAATGTTTTTTTTTCTCTTCTGGGAATGTGAGCATCACTCGAATCCCTCTTGCTTTTGGTACGAGAGCACAAGAGATCCTTTTAGTGGTCTTTATGCAACCAAGGGATCATAAACATCAATTCACTGGATTCCCCAGTTTCCTTAGGCAGGATCATTCTTTGATCTTGAGGGGTTGTTAAGTAGGAACACTACTAAGATATGGGTTCCTCTTCCACCACCTAGTCCATAGTTCCATCTCTTTCCAGATGCCTTACTTCAGGGATGGGGTGCATATACCAACAGTCAGGAATTCCAGGATCTATGCAAGGACAAAAAGGCTTCCCTACACAATGTTTTAGTCCTTCTTGCTCTTCAAAAGGCAATGCCTCATGGTCTGGGCTTATTAAGGGGAAATTGTCAGGCTGCACTCTGTGATGGTTTCTTGTATTTCTCATCTAGGTGGCACTTGGTCCAGAGCTCCTTGTTTTCAAATCTTGGACCTCCTTTCTCATGACCATTCCTATCATATCACCCTACTAGCTTGCCATGTTCCACAGGTGATGCCTTTGGTAGCAGGTCAATTGTCTCAATCCAAACAGATTCTCCCAACAGGATAGATGCTGCATTGCAAGGTTCTATTGGTTTGGATCTCATTTTGCAACTCAGATTGGTGGATTGGTCTGTCATTGGATCATTTAACTACTGGCAATTTGGTCTCCAGTACCTCACCTTCAGGCTTTGGCAATGGATGCATTCCATCAGGACAAGATAACAATTCTAGACCTTCCCTCCAATTCATATGCAACCCACGGTACTGAATGTGATTTGTTCCAACCTATCGTCAGGTCCTGTTGGTAGCACCAGATTGGCAGCTAAACCCTGGTTTCTGTGGTATCTTCTGGAGTGTTCACCTCTTCCACTTAATCTTATGCCATATCTTTGGAAGCAGCCATGATCTGACACAGTACACCCAGCTATCCAGAAGCTCAAGCTTAAAGGTTATTTTATCTCTTGTATGGCATCCAGGTTTAATTTATAAAGTTGCCATGTATCTGTCTCAGTCTTTGTTTAGTCCTAAGATGAACTTTTCTCAGCAGAAATGACAAGCATATCAGCAATGGTGTATTGAGAGGAAGTTCAACCCACTTTGATCAGAAGTTCCAAGAATAACTCGTTTTTTGACTTGGCTCTTTTGCAGGTATTTTTGCATCTTCCACAATCACCCTGTTTAAGGTGGCCTTATCGACTACCATTCGAGTCCCCAGTACTCTCCAGATTCCCCAAGTCAGATTGGTTCATTGGTCCCAAATGATCATTCCAGTTACCTAACAGGTATATTAAGGTTACATTACATGCTTTTTCTCAAAACCTGTTTGTGACCTGATTCTTATATACCATGTATCCTCTTTACCTGAAGGTTTATTTTTCGTTGCTGCTGATCTACAGACAATCGCTGGTTGGAATGGTTTGTGCTGTTGTTTGTCCACACACCACTTCTTCTTACCCAGGACATTTTCAGACAGGGAAGGGAATAAATCCCTTACACCATTTCATCTGATCACTATTTCTCACTTCTATGTCCAATCAGATTTCAATTATGGTCATGTTCATTGAGGGTCTTGAAGGTTTTGTTGTCCACACTACTGCCATTAGAGATGCTAGACAATGACTTTTAATCTGGGCTCTCTTTGAAGGTGAGGAATCTTTTGTGAGTCTTGTCTAATCAGATTCTTCATGTTCTATATTCTTAGCAGTCCAGTTGAATTGCCCACTGGAGGACATTGTGTGGACTGGTATATGGATTTCTGTCAATACTATTATCTCACATTATATGCATGACCTGGCAGTATCTTCATCTGAGAGTTTTTGCCTACCCCCTGTAGCTATCTTAACCACTTCCACTAGATTATACAGAGAGGTGAGTATTTTCACTGCTACCTTTCAGGGTCTCGTTTTCACAGGATCCCACTCTGTGGCAAGTGTAAGATGTTTTGGAAGTTTACATTTTCTTAAATCAAAAATGTATTTGCAATAATACTTACCTTCTCTCCCACCCTTCCTCCCCACTAAGAACCAGTGTTAGTCTCGAGAAAGTGAGAACATTATTTGAATGAGGTGCTTATATACCGTACCAGGATAGAGGACACATTGACATAGGAGAAGAGTGTCACGAGATAAATATCGCCAAGGACAATTGAGTGGGGTATAGAAGATTGAAGCAAGTGAGAAAAAATCAGACCAGTGCTTAGATGGGCAAAGGAAAAAACCATAGCAGTCAAGTAATAGCTATAAGTGTGAGAGAGGTAATATTGGAAATACATTTTTGATTTAAGAAAATTTTAACTTTCAATAAATATTAAAGGAATTAGCAAAAAAAAAACAGAATCATCAAAAACCTAATTCACCAGAGAATAACACAATGTTTCAAACTTAAATCACTTCTCAATATTGAGCAGTAATTAGCAATAATTCTTTCTAACTATATCTCATGAACTAACTCATTTTCAAAATCAAGGAAGGCCTTTTATTTAGTGGTTAGACCATGAAGTTACATTTCATGTGACTAGCTATTACCATAAATCTACATAGTCTTTTACAACATTAATATCTCTATGTCACTGCTAAGAGACGTTTGTGTCAATTTCATAATACATACATACTCAAAATCAATGTGCCCTAGATAAAAGGTGAATTAATGCTTTAGTGTAACTAAAAGTTCATAGTTGAACTAAATGATAGAAGGAATAATAAATGAACAGTAAACAAAACTCTTAGTAAAATAAAATTCAGTCTCACATTCCTTCCCCTTAGAAAAACGAAGTGATGACATTTAATCACTTCATACAAAGTATCTCAATTTTCATGAAATAGCAAATTCTAATTAATACTTGATATTGAGAAGTGGTTTAATTTTGAAACATTGAGTTATTCTCTGATGAATTAGGTTTTTTATTATTCTGGTTCTTTTTCATTATTCCTTTGATATTTATTGAAATTAATTACGTTGGGATTTATGTTGTATTATTTTTATTAATGTTTATACCTGGTCCTGGCCAGGAATGGGTTTACTAATTATTTTTTGTAAGTGATAAAATTCAAATCCTAGTTGTTTTAATTGTTTGAAGTCTTTACTCTTTAAATGTGAACACTGTTCTTTTATTAATTAGTACTTTTTTCAGCCTCAGAATCATGCCTAATTGATGGCACATATAATTCAAGAACAGTTGTGAAGAAGTTTAGGGTAGCTTCTTTTTACTGAATAAAATCTAATTCATTGAAACAAGTTATGGCCAAGTCTTTAATGACAACAAAACATTGGTCCACAATGCTATTTGTTACCAATAGTTTTGCTTCAAAGAATCCTTACCAGCCATGGTAGTCATTCCATCTGCAAGACACATGTACCTTTACACCAAGTTTTTAACTGAAGTGTTGGGTCATTTCTCATAATTTTTTGCTATATGTTTTCAGTTACTATTGAATAATCACACACAGTATCAACACAACCTACTACTACTATCACTTGATTAATTTTTAGTTTTAGGTGTGAAAAATCAGTTTTAGTTGTAGTCAAATAATTGATGGAGGGTTTTACTTTCATATGATTTAAAAACCCCTTCTTTTACTCCTGTTCTCATTTCCCATATGCTGTCCTTCGTCTCTTCATTCCCATTTTCAAATTTTACTTTCTTGGAACATTTCATAGATAAGTGAGCTATTTGAATAGAAGTATATCATCTCACAGGTCCATAATGGTGTTCAATTACACTAACCACTTCTCTATTAACAGCTTCTTGTTTATTCCTCCACTGATGCTCCTATTGTCTTGTAAAGTTTAATACATCAGCAGTAGATACAATAAGGTGGAATTCCAAGTATTCTCATAAAGAAACATGTAGTTGTGACATCAAATACTTCACAATTTCTCTTTCTGAAGCTTCAGGGTTCCATAATTTATTGTTTTTACAGTTTTCTAAACAAATGCCTCAACTGGCTCTCCTGTATTTCCTACTAAATAATTCTTTAGCCAATTCTATGTTATCTAACAACAATGTGTACAACTTGGTGAAAGTTTCTTTAAATTCTCCCCAGTGCTTGAAAGCTATGTCTGATTCTAAAGTCTTAATCAACCATTTTAGTGCCCTGCCCTCAAACAAGAAGACACAATTTCCACCCATATATTCTCAGATACTTGATACATATAAAAATATCTTTCCAAAGTTCTAAGCAACTCTTAAGACGTTAATATCTGTCTTACTTTTAAAATTCTCAACTGACAGGGGTGGTGAATTGACTGCAGTAACATAAGTCGATGAACTTTCCACAAGGCTACTGGTAGAATGAAATGTCGAAGTTTGAGGTGGCGAAAGGGAGGCTTGGCTTTTCTTGCTAGTAGACCTGTCATCATGCGTGTTTGAATTTCCATCAGTACTGCCAAACTTGCCACAACATAGTAACTAGTAAAACTGTGTATTAGATTTTTATGAGATCATTTACGAAAACATAGCATCTATGATGTATTCACATTAAAATGAAAGGCTTTCTGATTTTTTAGTAAAGTCTAGTTCAGGGTTTTCAAACCTTTTTGAGTTGTTGACCTCTTGTCAAACTTATAAAGTTGTCATTGACCCCCAAATTCTTAGAATATGAATTATAAATGAAACTTCATAGGCCAAAAACTTCAATATATAATCAACTTTTATTCATCAGAATACAACTGTTAGGAAACAAAATGTGAAAAAGAATGAGGTTTTAATTTTCTCAAATAAGATGGATGGGCTTGATGGGCTTTAACAAGCACATGAATAGGGGCCATTTTTGACCCCCTATCAACCCATAGGTCTTTATTCACCCCTGTATAGTCTCATCGACCACTTTTGGAAACCTTGATCCAGTCACATGTTGGACTGATAATGAACTTTAGGTATATCTCTAATTTTAACATATCAGCAACTGGTGTCTCCAATTTGTCATTGCATTAATGATTGGTATTTCTTGGTCTTGTCTATGACATGTGTTTGAATTAAAACTAAAGATTCAACTTGGAGAAGTGAGAACATGTAAAGTACTAATTAAATCAGTTTGAGTTTATGGTAAGTATTTAATAACAACTAATCATCATAATGAACTTTAATTTTGCTTGTAAAATAATGAATCAAGTTAATTTTAAGACCTTTATCTTCAAGGACCACTTCACTGGGTTTGATGAACTGAAGAACCAAGAATTAAAAAATTTTCCCTATGTCACTTCTTTCACAAATGAGGTATGAAATGTAAAGATTTATAATATTCTTAAATGCTTGAAGGCTATCTTGTAAAATGTATTAAAATGTTAAGAAACTATAGACTTGCATTTATGTAAGCAAGGGATAAAATGAAAGAAAATCGTCATGAATTTGAGAAGTTTAAATTGACTTCTGTGATGGGACACTTACATGATTATAGAAGACTAAGAGTTTAAGAATATTTTAATACAAAGACAAAAGGCTATTTTTGTAACTTAGTGTATACTTTGTAATCTTCTAAAGTGCTCATCGTTTATTTTTAGGAAGCTTTAAAATCAAGAGAAATGTAATAATAAAGAGAAAGTTAAAACATCTTTAAAATTTTACTGTTTACACATGTCATATTTGTATAGAATATTGATGTGGATAAGGGCCCAGTCAGTGATATTTATGTAAGTGTGTGTGTGTGTATGTATATTTATATACAGATATAGATATATGTGTATGTGTGTGTGAGATATGGCATGGGGGTGTTAACTATATCACATTCATTGTTGTGTTCACTGGAGCCAATGAAGAATAACCGTAATTAGGTTTGAAGGATTTCAAAGTAAAATATTATGTTCAATCTAACAAAATTTATTGAATATTATGTATTGTTTTTTAACATTTGGTCCAAGATTATTTTTTGTCTATAGGTAGTATTTATTACTTCAATATTATATACACATACTGATACTTTGTAAGAAAAGTTCCATAGAGAATTTTTTTTTATTTTACTGATTCCTATATATCAAACAAAACTTGTTTGATTTGTTTTGAATTTTGTTCTAAACAACTTGAGGGCTATCTGTCCATGATTTAGCTGTGACATTATAGAGGAAAGGCAGCTAGTCAATACCACCAACTCTTGGGCTACCCTTTTACTCATGAATAGTAGAATTGACCATTACATTATAATGCCTCCACAGCTGAAAGAGTTAGTGTGTCTAGTGACGGGATTTGAAACCATGACTACATATTACGGGTAAAGCACCCTATCCACCAGACCTAAACAAAGCTTTAAATCTGACTTTCACATAACCCAATATAGCAATTATGGACAACAAAGGACCTGTTAGTCCACCTAGCCTCCCCCATCCACTAAACTAGACTGTTAAAATAAACCTCAAAGACAGCCCTTATCATTCAAATATATATCCAGCCTTCCCTTAAACTCTTTTTAACATTGGTAACACTAGATCTACTAAGCATTAGAATTAGGTTTGTTTTTCAAGATATTTCATAACATATTATCCTCTGATAACTTAAGAATTTCATTAACACAGTTTTAATTACTTGAGCTGAGTTTGTTACAGCTCCTAAAGCAGAATTATTAATGCTGTATTTAGGATTGGATTTATGGGAAACTTTTATGCTAGTAGTAAGTATAGCTCCAGGATGGTATATGATTACATCATTTTTGAAATATATGTTTTGTAATTTAAAAGCATAATAAATATTGTAAAGATTGTACTGCAATACTATATTTGCTGTTTATAACTAGCTACAAAATATTTTTATTTTTCAAGCTCCCAGTACCCCTGTAAAATAACTTGCTTTTAACTTTATACCAGCTGAAACATACCCTCTCACTGTATTTAACCCTTCTATCCGTATATAGTTCCTTGAACTGACTTTCTAACGTAAAATCTTTTGCTGTAATAACTATTAAAGATACAGTAATAAAGTGTTAGGTATATATTTGCTGTTATGTTAACAGTTATATTAATTAAAATCATAAAATATCATAATTATTCTTTGATATTAACTACAGTTAATTCAAAAGAAAACCCCGAGTATAAATTTTGGAAGGAATCCCAATGGAGACAGCAGTGTAGGTGATTCTGCAGGCGAATGTGGTGGTACCTCAACTTCATCGTCCAATTGCACTCATATCTCTTCTGAGTACAACATACAACCT